CCTGAACCATCACACCTGCTTAGCATATGATGGGGTCCAAAATCTGTATAACAGTTTAATTTTTTTTGCATGGAAAGGTTCACCCAAATTGCCATTAAGAGAAACCAGAGCTCGCTACAAAGTCTAGAATACTAATCTTTATAACTATGTGCTTTCTTTTCTATATTTTCTGACAGGTGGCACATATGTTTCTGATGCCATATTTGTTGGTTTTTTCTGGAGGGTGATGATGTCATGTCTCTACCGTAGATTAAAATAAATGGAAGTTTAAAAATATGAGAGAAGTTGTCTTGACTAATTACATGTTTATGTAAAAAAGAATAGCAGGGATATTTTACAACTCCTGTGTGTGTAGTTGCTTGTTTTTACTGTAGTTGTGGCTGCTTTCTTCTTGTATCATAAAAATATCCTTGCTGCTGTATTTGTGATGATGTTGTACTTGTGATGATGCTACTTGTGATCTTCTGAAATGACCCATTGGCGACTTCATTACGCGGGGATAATGGTTTTGCAGGTACCCCGAGAGGCCCTTGAGTTTGCCAGAATGTCGATTAACTTCCGTTCCGGCAAATTTGGGTACTCCATATGTCCTATTTTCAGCAAAGGTCATGCTGAAATTTTCCGTGAATTTTAGCATGACTTTGCTAAAAATAGGGCATATGGGGTACTTGCGACTAATGCCTGTTATCATGCATGTTTTATGATCTGTTGTAAGGGTACTAATTGGTCTCTTCTGCTGCTTATCAGAGATGGCGGGAAGCAGCCACCGCCGCTCTACGACACCGCAGTACGAGTTGGATGCTTCCGAGTTCTTCACTATCATACTTGGGACTTCAGTATCATCCATGACGCAGGTATATAAAACAAGAGATCTCCCCTTCACCCATCTCATTATGATATCTGTTGTTTGCTACATCACTCATTGTCCCAAACTACAAAGGTTGCCTGACAGTTGTATGAACATGCTGATGGGTGAAGATCCGCCAAATAATGTGAAGCTGCGACAGGCCGGCAGCGGGTTTCGCAGGCAGTGGGATGTGGAGTTGGTGATCAAGGAGGACCACATGTACTTGTCTCATGGGTGGGAGAAGTTCTACAGTGCCTACGACCTGCGGCTAGGGTACTTCCTTCTCTTCAGGTACGACGACGACGCCACCATGCTCATCGTGAAGGTGTTCAACGCGACTATGTGTCGCATGCGCTACGCTAACGATGATGATGCCGGTACGTTCTGCCTCTTCTTATTTCTCTACATTTGGCTTTGTCTCACATCGATTGTTAACGGTCATTGTTGCATTTGGACAGGTAATGGGAGCAGCAACAGCGACACTCGCTACAGCCAAAGCAGCAGCGACTATGGCTGTAGCGAAAGCAGCAGCGATTCTGGCTGTAGCGAAAGCAGCAGCGATTCTGGCAGCAGCATATACAACAAGAAGAATGATCCGGACTGGAGTGCGGGAGAAGAGGAGCAGAGTGGGGATGAGGAGCTGCAGGATGACGATGGGCATCAGGCTGAGGATGACCTAGCGCTGGTGGTGGCTGGCCAAGGGCAAGAGATGGTGGTGGCTGACCATGGGCAAGAGATGGTGGTGGCTGACCATGGGCAAGAGATGGAGGTGGCTGAGGATGACCTAGCGATGGTTGTGCCTGAAGGTGGCCTCGCGATGGTGGTGGTGCCTGACAATGACCACGCACCGGTGGTGGCACCGGCGATCCCACAGCTGGGCGACATGACCACGCCAATTGAGGTGGAAGACTACATCCCACTGCCTCCACCGCCTAGCCGCTCTTGGCGCATCAGGCTGAGGAAGGAGAAGGAGAAGAACAATGCATGAGAACTGAACTTTGTCAGGTATGTCAGATCTCCAAAATGATATATATATACTTAGTTACCCATGTTATCTCTAATATGCTTAGTTTCCTATAGGTTAGCTTCATTTTACCTAAGTTGGCTCTAATATGCTAACTTAGAGCTTATAAGCTTAGTTTCTTATAGGTTAGCTCCAAAATAACTTATGTTAGCACAAAATGATCAAGTTTACATAATAAGCTTATAGTCTTTTTCTTATTCTTCTTCTTTTTCAAAATGACATAGGTTAGCTTCATTTTACCTAAGTTGGCTCTAATATACTAACTTAGAGCTTATATGCTTAGTTTCCTATAGGTTAGCTCCAAAATAACTTATGTTAGCACAAAATGATCAAGTTTACATAATAAGCTTATTGTCTTCTTCTTATTCTTCTTCTTTTCCAAAAAATTTCTTATTCTTCTTCTAGTGTTCTTCTTCTTCTAGTCTTCTTCTTTTTCTTCTTCTAACTTCTTGTTTATCATTTTGCAGATTTGATTTAATTCACGGAAGCTTGCATGGATGGAGTGCTTCTTTTCCATTTGTGTTTTTATTTTGTATCAATGTGAAACTTTTGTGAATTGATGGACAACGGTGTTGGATGAATAATGTGAAACTTTTGTAATATGTAACGATGGAACTATGTGTTGGCTATGTATGTATATATGATGAAACTTGTGTGTTGGCTATGTATGTACATATGATGGAACTTATGTGTTGGCTATAATTGTTATATGGATGCTTGTTGTACATATATGTGTTGAATATCTCATAGGTGAAATAGTGACCTGAGATTAAGAAAATAAAATTAAAAAATTGTTACTAATGGCGCACTACCATGTGGTGCGCCATTAGTACACTAGTGGCGCATCATGTACAAAACTAATGGCGCATTGCCTGGTGCGCCATTAGCATACCAGATATTAATGACGCACCAGTGGTGCGCCATTAGTAAAAATTCTAGTGGCGTGATACAATGCGTCATTAATAGGCAAAACTAATACACTATTAGTAGGTCTTTTCCTAGTAATGGATGTGAAGAGAAGGCGGCCGCATGGGGTGGATCCGCTGGCCACGCGCTGCGGATGAGCAACGACGGCTGGTGGTTGGATCTAGCCATAGGAGGAGGCGCACAGTGGTGAATTTGGGCGGTCGGGCATTGGAGAGGTGCGATTTACTCGGTAGCTGAGCGGGCGAGTATTTTTACTCCTCGAAGGCCGCGGGGAGTAAACTTTTTACTCCCTTGTACGGTTTGGGAGTTCGGCTATCTCCCGGTCAGAGGAGTAAACCGAATTTTTAACTCCTTTGACTCGTTTTAGGGATTGTCTAGAGATGCCCTAAAGATGGAAAATAGTGGTAACAAAAACATATGGGTATATGCACGCGCACGTAGCCACACTTCCTCCTCCAGAAAAAGCTAGGTTCCTCTGTCTCCTATGGGCACCACCGTTGGTTCGCCATGTCTTCGGCGGCCCTAGGGCCATGGGGGCACAATGGATCCCAACAAAGACCAGCGGGACGCTTTGTTTTCAGATATTTTTTTAAGTTTTGTTACGGTTTGTGTCCTGCTTAGAAAGGCGAGACGTCGGAGGCTTCCTGAAGATGAAATAAAGTTCTCCCCGCCTAGCCCTGTCTTGATGATGCGTCTAGCATAGTTGGTGGGCGTGCGGAGGTGTCTCTCTAATGGATGTGTCTTTTGTGGATTTGCTCCGATCTGACTGTTGTTTGTCTATGTTTGTGTGTTTTTAGGTTGGATCCTTCTGATCTACGCTATTCTTCATCTGTGCAATTGCTGTTCTGGTGCGATGGTCCTTAGCGCGGCGACTTCCCAGCTGTCAACTACAAGTTTTGTTCGGCTCTGGTGAGGGAGGGACAATGATGACAGCGCGCATTCGTCTTGTTTCAATGCTCGTAGTCGTCGTTAGGTGGTCTATGAATCTGAATGCAATATACGTTGAATAGATTGAATTTTTTTAAAAAAAAATATCGGTCAAAAATTGTTTCTGCGTTGTGGGCACAAGGTTACGGATACGAATGCAGCATGGAATACAGTATTGCTGTCTGCCGCTTTATCGGCAGGGTCGTGGTCATGGCCGCAGGGATAAGATCACGTAATCTACTCCCAGTCCCACTCCTTGCTAACCTGATAGGGACGCTCGCAGAGGAGGAGGAAACAAATGTGTGGTGCGCAACCGCCGTGGAGGTCGCACGAGTCCTAAAGCCCACGCGTCGAGCGGTCGGACGGGGCGGAATGCGTGGCTCGCGATCTCGGTGGAAGTCGCGACAGCGTTGCCCTCGTCGCTGTGCAGCAACCAGCAAGGGCATGGGCGCCTGCACGGGTGGGCCTAATTAGGAGAGGGCCATCGCCATCTTTCTTATTGGCAGCATACCAAAATTTCCGTTTGCGTCCTACTCGCATCCAGATCCAGCACACTGAATTTCGACGAGTCTGGCCATGGTGAAACTGTAGTCTTGCCAAAACGACAGGGAACCCATCCCATAGCTGCAAGGACAAGCAGCACTCCTCCCTTTTTGCTGTGCGGGGAACTCAACCAATCTCTTCGGTTGCGCAAAAAGAAAATGAAAAAGTGACCAGAAATCCAGGGCGCCTTCCGGCTCTCCCTCGAAAAAACAATCCGGGAAGATGCTCCGTCGACCTGACTGCGAATCCCCCGTTTTCTCACCTTTCCGAGTTTTCTATGCCAAAGGCGATATGATATGGCACCAATCAGCACGGGCTTCACCAGACGCGGCCCCTCCCCCCTCGGCATAGCATAGCAGGTGTCCTCTCGCGTCCGCGGTGGCGACAACGACCCAGGCGCTGTGGCCGCGAGCGCTTTTTCCCCACCCGGCCGGGCCTAGAATGCGGTGGCACGCTGGGTACGTGCGTGACCACCGGCGGAAACCTCCCGAGCCCGTGGATGCACGCACCTGTCGCCACCTCCTCGCCGTCGCTTTCCCCCCGTACCCACCACGGGCGCGGCAGGCTTATAAAACTAGCCCGCCACGTTCACAGACCGGCAGATCCTGCCTTCCTTGGCGACGCCCCCCTTTACCTTTTTCTGTAGCACCTTTGATCTTTATGCCCTCCTCCCGTTACTTTATCAAGAAATCTCAGGACAAATCTTGAGAAACTTTAGTTAGAGACAGACCGATGGCGGCGGCGGCGGCGAGCGTCGGAGGCGGGGCGGCGCCGTTCGTGTGGAAGACGTACCGGATGGTGGAGGACCCCGGGACGGACGGGGTCATCGGATGGGGGAAGGGCAACAACAGCTTCGTCGTCGCCGACCCCTTCGTCTTCTCGCAGACCATGCTGCCCGCGCACTTCAAGCACAACAACTTCTCCAGCTTCGTCCGCCAGCTCAACACCTATGTCAGTCCGTTGATTCCTATATATACTAGTACTCCATTTGTGCTGTCCATTTCCGTGTTGCTAGGCCGCCTGCGCTCCTGTTTATCTTGATTCAGAGAGAAAGAGAGTGAGATTTCTGTACAAAGTTCTTGTGTGCGTGCGTGTGCGTACAACTGTGTACGCGAGACATTTTCTGGGAGTACATAGTTCGTCTTTACTGTGTGTGGTTGGGGTGTCGATTTATGGACGTATGGAGACCACGTGGCGTGATAAGTTACGCTCTGAATATTTTGCGGTATGTGTTCGTGGTTTCAAGGACAAGAACGTGGCACGTTTTGGGGGCTGGCTAGAGGCGAACAGCGAGGATTTAGTTTCACAAAGTGCAGACAGCCAGCGTCCTTGCACTAGATTCTGTCCTGATCAAATTGTTTTCCGCTTCGCCTCAGGGCTTCCGCAAGGTGGATCCGGACCGGTGGGAGTTCGCCCACGGCTCCTTCCTCCGGGGCCAGACGCACCTCCTGCGCAACATCGTCCGCCGTGGCACCGCCGTCGGCGGCGGCGGCGGCGGCAAGCGCAAGGACGCGGTGGCGGCCGGCCTCACCGACGACGACATGACGATGGTCGCCACGGAGGTGGTGAGGCTGAAGAAGGAGCAGAACACCATCGACGACAGGGTGGCCGCCATGTGGCGCCGCGTGCAGGAGACCGAGCGGAAGCCCAAGCAGATGCTCGCGTTCCTCCTCACGGTCGTCGGCGACCGCGACACGCTGCAGCGCCTGGTCGGCAACAGCGGCAACGCGGCCGGCGGCGAGCAAGGGCCCGTGGAGGGCGGTGAGAAGAGGGCGAGGATGCTGCTTGACGGCGACTTCGGCAACGTGTCCGCGTTTGGGCCGGACGCCGTCGACTTCGCGGGGTTCTACACCGACGACGCATTCGCCAGTGTGCCGGTGCCGGTGGAGGCGGCCGCCGGGCCGGGCGGAGGTGGTGCCGGCTGCACGTTCGCTTTTGGAGTGGACAGTGGGTACTGAGTACTGACGTCCCACCGAAATGTCCTGCCCGCGTGTGCTAATTGCTTGCTTGGTTTTAGCCGAATTGCGTGACTGCAATTTTGACCGCTGATGTTCCAAATTTGCCTTGTGCCAGGGATGAGACAATATGCAATTTTATTCATGCACGGGGTGTATCAGTCCGTTTTCACGGTGCCTCCGCTGAGCAGCTACGGTCGACGATAATGGCGCAATTTCGTGTGATTTGCAAGTCAACCAAAAAAAAACCTCTTCTTTTTTGAGAAACGTCACCACTTTATTAATCAAGCGACATAAATACAAAGAGTCCGGGATACAGTCCGGAGCAGAAGGAAAAGATCACTAGAGTTCACACAACACTTAGAGCAACTCCAATGGGAGGACCCATTTTGTCCGTTTGTGTCATCCGGACAGAAAACTTGCCCAACGGGGCGACCCAAACGGACGTCCGTGTCCGCCTGCTACGGACATCCGTGTCCGCCTGCTGTCCGTCCCCGACCCAAACCTGACCCAAATCTGGGAACAAATGGGTACGAAGCGGACGGAAGCGGACGCTCTCGTCCACCGCTGTCGCCCGCTCGTGTCCGCCCCTGGTCCCATATGTCAGCGACTGCAACGCCCGCAGCGAGGCCACCGGTGTTGGTCTCCACCGCGCGCTCGGCCGCTCCTCCGCACCGCAGCAAGGCCACCAGCGCAGGTTGCCGACGCGCGCTCGGCCGCTCCTCCGCGCCGCAGCTAGGCCATCGGCACAGGTCGCCGACGCGCGCTCGGCCGCTCCTCCGCGTCGCCGCGAGGCCACCGGAGCAGGTTGCCACGGTGCGCTCGGCCGCTCCTTCACGCCCCAGCAAGGCCACCGGCGCAGGGCTCCTCCGCGCGCTCCTGCTGGGGCTCGAGGCCCGGACGGCGGCGCGAGCAGAGGGTGGTTGCAGCAGAGGCGCGAGCAGAGAAAAATCCGCGAGGAGGAGAGGAGGGGCGGCGCGAGGGAGACAGGAGGGGGCGGATGGCGCGAGGGAAAGAGGAGGGGGCGGGCGGCGCGGAGAGTTTGGGTCGACGTGCGTTGATTACAAGGCTTGTCCGCCCCATGTCCATTAGACGGACAGGTGACTCAAACGGACATGAAACGGATAAAATCCGTGTCCGTTTGGGTCCTTGCGTTGGAGTTGCTCTTAGCAAGAACATGAGCTAAAACATTGTAATGCGCTAAAACATTATAATGCCGGCAACATGCTTAAAATATACACTCCGAAGCAGAATGAAAAGATCACTAGAGTTCACACAAGACTTACCAAGAACATGAGCTAAAACATTATAATGTCGATGAACATGCTTAAAAGATATAGTCCGGAGCAGAATGAAAAGACCACTAGAGTTCATACAAGACTTAGCAAGAACATAAGCTAAAACATTATAGTTCATACAAGACATGCTTAGTCCGGAGGAGAATGAAAAGACCACTAGAGTTCATACAAGACTTCACAAGAACATGAATTAAAACATTATAGTTCATACAAGACTTAGCAAGAACATGAGCTAAAACATTATAATGCCGACGAACATGCTTAAGCTAAAACATTATAATGCCGATGAACATGCTTAAGCTAAAACATTATAATGTCGACGAACATGCTTAAATATCGCATAAGTAAAGCCCGAAGCCGCATGCTTGATACCCCCACCACTGAACCCACGATTCACAACAAGCCACCACAAACTGACCAACATGATTCAGAGCAACAACACCCATCCACTTTGCCAAGATCAGCAAAAACTACATCGTCAGACATGAAATATAGAGTACCTGATAGTGGTGGAGACCATTGGTTGCATGATGCATGGGTCTCACGTCTATGATCAGGACCAACTTGAATAGGTGTTGCACAATAAGATCAACATAAGCCAAAATCTTGCCGGTAGTACGACGCGGGTGAGGCATCTCCACATCATTCCGAGCAGAATCGCGCGCCTCTCATATATGCCATATAGTCACAGGCATCACCGTTATCACCGTTGACATTAGATCATTGGCACGGGAAAGAAATTCAAACAACCATTGCCTTGGGAAGTGAAGGTCGAACGACAAAGATTAATATCAAAAAACAACTTCACCTGCTCCGAGACTTCTCTAGCAAACTGACAGAACAATAAGCAATGCTCGATACTTTCACTCCTGCCACAGAAACAACAAAGCTCAGATGTTGGAATATGTCGGCATTGTAACTGCTCACCTGATGGGAGGCAATCATGTGCGAACCTCCACAACACCACTTTCATCTTATTTTGGTGCCTTAATTGACCAAATGGCCTTCCAGCTCCACTCTACCGCAACAATATCTGACGCCATGCCACAACCATTCACACTTTGGGCAAGTTGAAAACGAGCACACCGAGCCATGTTATAGGCCGAGTGTCGGTGTTAAAACCGGCGGATCTCGGGTAGGGGGTCCCGAACTGTGCATCTAAGGCGGATGGTAACAGGAGGCAGGGGACACGATGTTTACCCAGGTTCGGGCCCTCTTGATGGAGGTAATACCCTACGTCCTGCTTGATTGTTCTTGATGATATGAGTATTACAAGAGATGATCTACCATGACATCGTAGAGGCTAAACCCTAGAAGCTAGCCTATGGTATGATTGTCTGTTGTCCTATGGACTAAACCCTCCGGTTTATATGGACACCGGAGGGGGCTAGGGTTACACAAGGTCGGTTACAAGGGAGGAGATATACATATCCGTATTGCCTAGCATGCCTTCCACGCCAAGGAGAGTCCCATCCGGACACGGGACGAAGTCTTCAATCTTGTATCTCCATAGTCCAACAGTCTGGCCAAAGGATATAGTCCGGCTGTCCGGAGACCCCCTAATCCAGGACTCCCTCAGTAGCCCCTGAACCAGGCTTCAATGACGATGAGTCCGGCACGCAGTATTGTCTTCGGCATTGCAAGGCGGGTTCTTCTCCAAATACTCCCTAGAAGATTTTTGAACACAAGGATAGTGTCCGGCTCTCCAAAACAAGTCCACATACCACAGTAGAGAGAATAACATTTCCACAAGTCTAATCCGCTGACACGTTTAGCAACATCACATCATGTCATGGCTCGGTCATTATTCGAACCGTTTTCCTCAACCAGCACCGCACATATTGCGAGGCGGTTTTCTTGACACGTCTAGTCGAAGCAGAGATCGTGTCCCCTTATCACGGGATTCTCATCAATACAGGTATGGGTAACCCAACCGCGCCATCAATTACGGCGCTCGGGGAGTAAGCAATTTTAACAGGTAAGCGGGGAGGCGCATCGCCTCCTCCGCCCTTATAAAGGGACGAAGATTCACCCTTTTACCCACGCCTTCTTCCTCCTTGCTTACCCATTCTCGCGCACTCGAGCTCCAGCGCCAAGTTTGCGTCTTTCTTCTCAAACCACTCCAAACATGTCCGGAGCGGGAGGCAAGTGGATGGTCTCCTCCGTCACGGAGGAGAACATCACAAAGTTACGGGAAGACGGATATCTGGTCGCGAATATCGCGCACCGACTGCCAGATGCAGGGCAGACCATCCCTACGCCCGAATCCCATGAGAGGGTAGTTTTTCTTACCCACTTCATCCGCGGACTAGGATTTCCCCTCCACCCGTTTGTCCGCGGGCTCATGTTCTACTACGGGATGGATTTTCATGATCTGGCCCCCAATTTCATCCTCAACATCTCGGCGTTTATCGTCGTGTGCGAGACCTTCCTCCGCATCAAGCCCCATTTTGGCCTGTGGCTAAAGACCTTCAATGTCAAACCGAAGGTGGTGGTCGGCCAGCAAGCAGAGTGCGGAGGCGCCATAGTGGGCAAGATGCCTAACGTCACCTGGATCGAAGGCTCCTATGTGGAGACCATAAAGGGGTGGCAATCGGGGTGGTTCTACATCATCGAGCCACGCGACACCAACTGGACGGCGGTCCCCAAATTCCGATCTGGAATCCCCACGCGGCTCACTTCCTGGAAAGAGAAGGGCCTGTCATGGGGTTCTTCGGTAGAGCTGACCGGACTCCAGACCTTCATCGGGAACATGATGAGTAAGAAAATCAAGCTTGTCAACGTGGTCCAGGTCATGCTCTTCCGCTGGATTCTCCCGTGTCAACGACGGGCATTCAATTTGTGGGAGTTCGACCCGGCCAAGCACCAGACGTTGCGAGAGCTCTATGATACGACGCACAAGGACGTCTGGAGGGTGTTGTTCAAGGGCGCCGAGGTACCTCCTTCCCTCACCGAGGACCGCGGACTCAGCGCAAAGCGCCACGCCAATCCGGTAAGTTTCGGTATCTCACAGGGTATTTATTTGCCCTAGTTAAATCATGTGTGGGATCTAAGCTTCCATGCCATTAACAGGACTGGATAAAGACAGCGGAGGAGCTCGATTGCCCAACCCCCCTGCCTGAAGATCCTGCCGATGCTCTCCTAATAGAGATGCTGGCTCCGGCACCTTACGAGGTGCCGGCAAAGAAGGCCAAGAAGAAGGCCACGGGGACCTGAAAGGGTCTCCGGTGCAAGGTCGTATTGGACTCATCGTCCGATGACTCCGACGCGCACTCCTCCCACGAAAATGAGGAGGAGGAAAGTTCTCCCCCCCAGCCGGGGGAGACAAGAGAAGGAAGGCCGACCCAACCGGGGAGGCCGAAGGGTCCAAAAAGGGAAGGACCCTCCCTCCGGACTGCTCCACGACGGCCGCCTACAGCGGCGACGAGTGGCTACCCAGGGTCAAGCCCCTGGCGAAGTCGTGAGTATCCGGACACCATAGTAATTCATGGTATGTTTTATTGCACTGCTTCTCATGCCGAACATGATTATGCAGTCCATCCCGAGCCCATCTCGACGTATCTTCGTCGAGCGGTTCATTGGACTCATCGGATGTGAACATCGGTTCTCTTCCGACCGCCTCCACTCCTTGCCCTACGGACAATGTCGAGGTGTTGTCTCAACAAGCACCGGGCCAAGGGGAGGCAGTCCTGGGGGCGCCTCGAG